AAGCATGGAATCAGAGTATAGCCACCATGTTTCTCCTTGACGCCAAAGGGGTGACTGACTTTCCCGCTGCAAAGATGGTCTATGAAAAAGACTGTGAAGGGATGCGTCAGACCTGCCGCAGATACCCAAGTCATGGGGCCGGGCCTCCCTACAGACCCTCCCTCGGAGGGATCACCAGCTACCACACCTCTCGGGAGGTTGGACCCTCTTGATGGGAAGTGCCCCCACAAAATTTCTGGGTACTGTAGTGACCTGAACACACAATGGCAGCTGAATCTTGCCAAAAACAGCAGGAAAGACATTTTTCCTCTCAGAGGCCCAAGCTTAGGATCACAGAGGATAGGGAAGGCAACCACAGGAAAGACACAGGAGCCAGAAAGCACAAAGGGCCACAGGAAGAAGCCCCAACTCTCCCGGAGCGACAAACACCACAGAGTCCCAGTTCACAGCCCTGAGAATTCAGTTCCTTCAACCACATCAATGAAGAAATGTCACTCCTGGGAGAAAGCCCCTGGATGTGGCACCTGGAAACAAAAAACCCATGGGACAGGACAATGCAGGCCCAACACCCACCCAGCCCACAAGACACTGTCACTGAAGTCCTCAGAGAGCTAAGCGGGAGCTATCAAAACAGGACTGCACGAGAAAGAGGCACGGAGGTAAGGAACTGCAGAGGAAGGAGCCCACCTGCATGCAGACAGGACACCGGAGTCAGTCGCAGACCACTCTAGAACAGGTGTCTCACAGTGCACAGACAACGCCAGACCCAGTCCTGGCAGTTAGCCAGGCAGGCTGAGGGGCTCTGCATCTGACGCTCTGGCTCAGCCTTCACGGAGTGGAGACCCCACCTTGGAAGAGAGAACCTTGAACAACAGTATAAACCACTGCTAGGGTGTTACAATCAGCTCCCTGTCACCTACACTGTGTGACATCAGTGTGGTGGAAGACTCGAAAGGTGGGCACTGAAGGGAGAAATGCAAGCTGTACAACGGGTGGAGAGTGAGAGTGTGGGCCCAAGGGAAGAGGCGCAGGCTCCCAGGCAGAGGCGGCAGGGTGTGAAGCAGCAGCACTGCGCTTCACTGCCATGAGACTCTGGGGCCGGACTGGCAACGGGTCAGTCTGATGTGGCATCGGGGTGGGTCAGAGAAGTGCTGCGGACAGAGGGGCTGAGCAAGGATGCCCTTCCACCCTGGAGAGGGCAACAGAAGTGACACTAGGAGGATTCTCAGCCTGGCCGTGTTCCTGGGGTCCTGGCAGCATGGAGCCATGAGCTCCTGGGGAAGGAGCCACACGGGAGAGACAGCCTGGGACCCTACAGAGCAGGGAGAGGGGAACCTCACTTCAGGCCACTGCCAGCACCCACAGACAAAAGTGTCGCCCAGAGTCCTGGCCCCAGACACCAGGCAAAGACAGAGTGGACAGTTGTCCACTAAGTGTGCAGCAGCTGGTCTCCAGCAAGCCAAAGGGAGGGAATGGTGCCCTTGTGATAAGACTACACCACTATTTTTGACTCTAACTTATATATGTGACTGGGATAAAAGTAACCAAAGAAAACTGTAAGCATTAAGCACAAAGGCGAAGCCAGGTGTATGTTCACATAGGTGGGAAGAACACCGTGCCCACCCGCGAGCCTGTCCATCAGCCTCTGGTGCAGACCCCACCCGCAGCTCCAGGTGTGACCGAAGGTCTGCACTAGTGCTGCATCTCCCTTTGCTGC